ATATGTGTATATATAAATATGTGTATATACATATACGTATATATGAATAGAAAAACACAATACCGTATTGATATTATGGTAGAAAAACCCACAATGCACAAACTAGATTGTTTGAAGAAAGTGAGACTCTTTCCTCAGTAAATCTAGTTTGTGCATTGTGGGTTTTTCTACCATACGTACATATACTTAATTTGGATATAAATGTATTTTCGCCTGACAAGTACAGTATTCACATATGACAATTTATTGCATTTCCCACATTAACTTGAACCCATGTCTATACCATTAGTATTCATTTTGAATAGTAATTGTTAGCCTTGTTCATGGGGAAGAAAATGACTGGACCAACTCCTAATTAGCACAATATAAAAGAATTCACTGAGGTTAAGGATAAACAACTGAGAAGCAATGTGACTCATTTCTACCATATTTTTTTCTTGCTTTTTTTTTATCATAAAGCTAATTTTGTATTTTTCTAAAATTTGTCTTCGCAAGAAGATTTTCATAGAGCAACTTTTTATTTTTAGTATGAAAACCATACTATCTAAATCTAGGAAACTTCCTTTTGTTTTTGCTCTCTCTCTCTCTCTCTCTTTCTTTCTAATTCTTTTTTCTTTCTTTCTTTCTTTAGATAAAAAAGATGCCGTGTCTTCTTTTTTTTACTTTTTTTTTGTATATCAAAATACAAGTAGCAGTTAGGTGTAGCCTACAATTCTGATCTTACGTCACTCATTGCATTCGGAAAGTGCACACACCCCAAAAAAAACTCTCATGGGATACTCCATATTTATAAGTTGATCTTCCGGAGTGTCCTTGGATTCAGTGGGAAACGAAGCGACGAGGGCCTTAAAAATAATTCACAAGAAGAGCGTCGAGAAAGTTTCCGCCACTGGAAACACCGCAGAATGTGAAGTGTCAGTCCCCGTGTGCGTATATATGCAAAAACACACATACACATATATGCAAACGTACATATACACATATATTTGTGTGTAAGCGTATGCACGCGCGCATGTGTGTGTGTTTGATTGTTTGTATGTGTTTGTGTGTATGTCTTTACGTTGTTTGTATAAAAGTATATGTGTACATATTCATTTATTCATTCAAATGCATGTATGCATGTATGTAGATATTGCCGCGCAGTGCTGAAATATATTCCCATATACGGGGGCATTTCTCGTACGACAGACCAATAACACAAAAGATGAAAAAAACACCTATGTCCTTGTATTTACTTATGTGCTATTGTATATTCACAAAGGCAATATAAAAGGCACTGGTCTTTCGCCGAAAATACTTCTTTAAGGTGGACCTTCACCACTTCCTCAAGGACTTTCCGGAAAAAAATTACTTGCGTTTGCTATATAAGTCTTTCATTGCTATAACGGCATAATTTTTGCTTCTTTTTGCACAGTAAGGAGATTATATTCTGAATATGAATCAGGTGAGGAAACAAGAAGGCGAAGGAAAATGTTGCTAAATATGTACGTAGAGGATAATAGGATTTCACTGTCAGATTTGCCTTATCATTTTTAGGTATCTGTTGCTTGCAGAGATAATATGTGATGATCAATGATTATGATTATAGCAATGGTTAGGCCACAACATTTTTTTTTTTTTTTTTTTTTTTTTTGGAATAGCGAGCAAGTCTGGTGATAATGAAATGTCGGTGGTAGGGGGGGGGGGGAGATCCTTAGCACCAAAATAAGACCACTGTACCTCCTACCTTCCAAAGATCAGTGCAGGTTCATTGCGCATATTGCGAAATACGCCAGGACTGATCAGAAGCGATCACCGACCACGGACACGATAGACAATAGACATGACAGGACGCATGAGAGTAAGGCATTTCCGCCAAATATATTTTATTTTTGTTTTGGGGATATGAGAAACGATACCATACACAATGAATCATAGACAAATAAATTTGTTTTTATATATTTTTTCTTCTTCTTCTTCTTCTTCTTCTTTTTCTTTTTTTTTTTTTTTTTTTTTTTTTTTTTTTTTTTTTTTTTTTTTTTTTTGGCTGTTTCTTTTACGGACATCACAATATCGGCAGGAAATTTGAAAACAATAAAAAATCGGGATTTTCACCTTTTTTTTTTTTACTTTCCTGGAAATAAAGATCGGCGGGTCCGCTATTCAAAAAAAAAAATGCTGTGGCCTTAGAGATAATTATCGGTATAATATAAACCGTGGCTTGACCCTATCCCTTAGCCGACTGGCCCAGTAGCTGACCCTGAGCCCGTAGCTGACCCTGGCCCAGTAGCTGACCCTGAGCCCGTAGCTGACCCTGGCTACTGTCGCTTTGGTGGATTCGGATTCGGATACGGAGGAAATCGCGGTGGCTTTTACGGTCAAGGATATTCGCGAGACCGGATTCCTCCCTCTTCCACTCTAAAAGATTTTTTGAAAGGACAACGGAATTTTACAGTATTTCTGAAATGAATCGTATGAAGGAATATTTGTCTTTATTAGTGACTAGAAACATAGGTACCTA